CTGATTAATTACTCCTATCTCTACTGGCATTATAGCCGTTTCCTTTGGCACTTTAGCCAGGCTTGAACAATTGAAGTGGGTGCAGCAGTGTGAACTGTGTATTATTACTGTGACCCTTCATGCCGTATAATTAACTTAAATTTAAGTACTGTTTTGCATTTCCATTTTGAAATTAAGGTTACAAAATAACTATTACAGAAATAGTTATTTTGCTTGTATTTTGTTTTAAAACTTGAAAATTATAATATCAGCTTATAAGACAGTGTTAAGACCTTTTAATTACTCAAACATTTTATTTCATATTGATGCTGAAAATTTTTCTTCTGTGAAAATTTAACAAAATTATCTGCNATAATTTTTTTAGATGGTGGTTAAACATTTGAAATAATAGCATCACTACTGATAATCACCAAAAGTGCAAATCAGAGCCACTACTGATAATCACCAAAAGTGCAAATCAGAGCATTCAGATACTGGTGGGTGGTTGTTACCGTTTTCTTTCATTCTTTTTCTGTTGTTGCTTGAATTCTAATAACATCCAAATTTTGGTGAAGATGGCTGGAGTGTAAAATGGAACACATTTTATGCCTTTTTAAAGTATCTTGCTTTATAGAATTTGTTTCATTTTTTTGTTTGTTTCATTTCATTTTTGTATAAACAAATCATCAACCTTTTCCTTCTGGATTCTAACTCTTTTTTCATAATAAGAAATATTGTGTTACTATATTTATACATTTCTGTTGACTCCTTTCTTTCCTCAGTAATGTAAAATGCCCCAATTACAATGTACTGAATCTCTATAATGAATCTTTATTCCATTTATCTATGAATTTACTCCTAAGCCATCACATTTTTAAAAACACTTTATTCTATATTTACATACAGTAAAATTTTACACATTTTATTTATGCAGTTTAATAAATTTTGGCAAATGTATGTTCCACCCTAGTCAAGATATAGAATATTTACATCACCCTAAAAAGTTTCCTTGTTGATCCCTTATGCAGTTTGTCATCCCCATCTTCAGTTTTCAGACTGGACAACCATTGATCTGCTTTCTGTCACTGTGTATTATATTACTGTTAATAATACTAAGGCATTAGTATTCTTTTAGAATTTTATATCAGAGTTGTTATACAGAACATACTCCAGCTTCTTTGCTTTTAGCATATTTTAAAGTGCGTCTATGGGGACTTCCCTGATGGTCCAATGGCTAAAACTCCTCCAGGCTCCCAGTGCAGGGGACCCAGGTTCGATCCCTGACCAGGGAACTAGATCCCGCTTGCTGCAAGTGAAAGTTCACATGCTGTAACTAAAAAAGCCCACAGGCTGCAACTAAAGACCCTGCACTGTTAAATAAATTATGCTGTAACTAAAAAAGCCCACATGCTGCAACTAAAGACCCTGCACCGTTAAATAAATATTAAAAAAAAAAAGTGCATCTGTGAATCAGTAATTTGCTCCTTTTTTGCGAAATAATGTTTCTTTGTGTGGACTTACTGTAATGTACATACGCTTTCACTTGCTGATAGACTTTTGGATTGTTTTCAGTTAGGCGCCATTGTGGATAAAATTAATATGAACATTCTTGTATAAGTTTTTGTGTGAGCATGTGTTTTCGTTTCTCCTAGGCAGATACCTAGGAGTGGAATTATTAGGTCTTATGGTAAATAAATACTTAACTTCGTAAGATGCTGGCAAACTTTTTCACAGTGACTGTACTATTCAAGGTTCCTACACTGTTGTGGGTTTGTTTGCTCCACATCTTTGCCAACACTTAATACAAAAGCGGAATCGTTTTAATATGTCATTCTAAGTGTATGTAGTGACAGCTGTGTTTTTTAATTTGTGTTTACCTCATGACTAATGATGTTGAGCATCTTTTCATATGTTTATTGGTCATTTGTATGTCGTCTTTGGTGAGGTTTCTTTTAAGATATTTTGCTCAATTTTTGGTTGGGTTGTCATCTTACTGGGTTATAAGAATCTTTATAAGGTACAAGTTGTTTGTCAGATATATGCATTGCTGATATTTTTATCTCAATCCTAGTTTGCCCTTTCATTTTCTTAAGGTCTTTTGAACTTTGTGTTATTGTGGCCTAAGTAAAGAAATCTTTGCTACTCTAAAATCACAGCTTTTCCTATACAGTTGTTCTGAAAGCTTTATATTTTTGCCTGTACATTTAGGATTATAAACTATTTCATGTTGATTTTAAAAGTAATATTCATCTTTTTCCAAATTTATATTAGGTTGTTTCACCATCATTTCTTGAAAAGACTTCTTTTCCCATTTAATTACCTTGGCTCTTCTGTCAAAAATTAATTAACCATGTATGCATGTCTGTTTCTGAACTTTGTTTCCTTGATCTACGTGTCTTTTCTTACACCAGTAAGACACTGTAAGATGATATAAATCCTCCTGCTTTATTCTTTTCTCTCACTATTCTGGACTCTTTAATATTTGCATAAGCATTTTAATGTCAACTTAAATTCTGCCCAAATAACAGTCCTGCTGGGATTTTGATTGAGACCGTGTTGAATCTATAGATTACTTTGGGGAGAATTAACATCTTAAAACAGTATTGTCATACACAAAATGTCTCATTTACTTAGATCATCTTTATAATTTGATATAACTAAATGATGCATATATGTTCTTACATTTATCTCAAGAATTGTATGCTTTTTCAGTGCTATTATAAATGCTACCGTTATTTATTTCAGTTTCTAATTCTTCATTGCTCATGTATAGCAATGGGGGATTAATTTTTTATATTGATCTTATGTCCTGAGATTGCTAAACCTTTTTAGAGTTTTAGTAGCTGTTTTTTGTTTTTTGTTTGTTTGTTTGTTTTTGCATAGTGCTTAAGAATTTTCTATGTGTAAGACCATATGGTCTGCAAATAAAGACCATTTTACCATTTTTTTCCCCAATCTGTATTTTTTTTTCTTCCTCTGCATCTTAATTCCCTGACTAGGACATCCGACAGAATACTAATTAGAGGCAGTCAGAATTAGATCCTTACTTCAGTCCCAGTCTTAGGAAGAAACCATTCAGTTTTTCACAGTTAATGATGTTATCTTTAGTTTTTCATCGATTTTCTCTATCAGGTTAAAGAAGTTTCCTTCTATCCCTAGCTTGCTGAAAGTTGTTAGAAATTAACTTTGTTAGAGGCTTTTTCTACATTTGTGTGACGCAGTCATATTTTTTCTCTTGTTCAAAGAATTTTTGAATCTTTGTTCATGAGGGATATATATCTCTGTCGTTTTCTTCAAATAACTTGATCTAATTTTGGTATAAGGGTAATGCTGCCCTCAAAAGATGAATTGGGGAGTATTCCTTCCTCTGTTTTTTATACATTTGTTATTATTTTTCCTTAAATGTTGGATACAGTTCCCCCAGTGAAGACCTTTGTGTCTGTCTTCTTTGTTTTCTAATACAAGCATTTAAAGTTAACAATTTTTCATCTAAGCAGTGTTGTAGTTATAAGCCACCTATTTTTATATGTTGGTTTCATAATCATTCAGATCAAAATGTCATCTAATTTTCTTCTTGATTTTTATTTTGATTTATGAAACTTTTTTTTTTTTTTCACTACATGGCCTCCCATGTAGTAGAAGCACGGAGTCTTACCCACTGGAACACCAGGGAAGTCCCTGATTTGTGGAATATTTATAGATCTGTTGTTTAATTTCTAAATATTTGGGGATTTACTGATTTTCAGTATCATTCTGTTTTGGTCAGAACATATTCTATATGATGTCTGTATGTTTAAATGTATTAAGATTTGTATCTATTAAATAAGTTTTCAAAAGGAGAAAACATCTTTTATTTACCAAATACTTAACTGCAGTCTAGCACTGTTTATTCCTTTGTGTAGATTCAGGTGTCTTTTTGGTNCTTTGCCCATCTATTTGACATGAAGTGATGGGACCAGATGCCATGATCTTCATTTTTTGAAAGTTGAGTTTTAAGGCAGCTTTTTCACTCTCTTCTTTCACTTTCATCAAGAGGCTCTTTAGTTCCTCTTTGCTTTCTGCCATAAGGGTGGTGTCATCTGCATACCTAAGGTTGTTGATATTTCTCCTGGCAATCTTTGCCAACTTGTGCTTCATCCAGCCCTGCATTTCACATGATGTACTCTGCAAGTAAGTGAAATAAGTGACAATATATAGCCTTGACGTACTCCTTTCCCAATTTTGAACCCCATTGTTCCGTATCTGATTCTAACTATTGCTTCTTGACCTATATACAGGTTTCTCAGGAGGCAGTTAAGGTGGTGTGGTATTCCTATCTCTTTTAAGAATTTCCAGTTTATGACTGTGATCCACACAGTCAAAGGCTTTAGCCTAGTCAATAAGGCAGAAGTAGATACTTTTCTGGAATTCTCTTGGTTTTTCTGTGACCCAGTGGATGTTGGCAATTTGATCTGTGGTTCCTCTGCCTTTTCTAAATCCAGCTTGTACATCTGGATAGTACTCAGTTCACGTACTGTTGAAGCTTAGCTTGAAGGATTTTGAGCATTACCTTGCTAGCATGTGAATTAATTCTTGTGAAACCTTGCCTTTTACTGCCTTCCAAACATCCCCAGTCCTCTGTGTCAGCATACCCTATTAGACCTGTTGCATAATTGTCACTACTGCTGTTTTCTTTGCCCTGAACTGTGAATGCTTTGAGTTCAGGGACCATGTCTTTTTTATATATGGCCAGGATGTACCGCAGTGCCTCATATTGAGGATTCCAATAAACAGTCCCCAACCCTGCAGTGACCACTGTAGTTATGCTTTTTCACAAGCGTTTGACACCCATGCTGGCTAAGTTAGGTCTGCTTACTTCAAAAATTAAACATAAAATTGTCCTGAAAATCTTTAAGTTAAAAAAAAAGTGAAACATCTCACAGCAAAAAATGAGAAGTACCAATACTAAGTGTACCATGTTGCTTTTCTGCTACACTGTATTCCTTGAATTCTGAAACACAATTTTTGCCTTTCTTCTATAGGTGAAGCCTTGAAGGGAAAGATCACAGTGCACAAGAATAAGAAAGATCCACGTTCTCTCATTGTGACCCTCACATTGAACAATACAACTCAAACTTATGGTCTCCAGTAAAAAGGCTGCAAAAGCGCCAACTAATTTGCAGCTTTTATGGTCGGGAAAGGTTGGGCAGTGGTGGAGGAAGCTTATGTGAATACATGGATGTTGAATCTTTGAATCTGATAATTCAGCTATGGAGGGAATGATCCTCGTGATCCACCTCTGTAATCACATTTTTGAAAGTCTGGTCAAGGAGATTTAACAAAATGTAATCCCTGTGTTGGGTTCAGCTGTACTGAAAGTCATCAGATTGGCCTAAATTTGGAACAGAGTATAATGTTTTGTTGTTTTTAATAATTTCTTACTATAAATTTTAACCACTAGTAATTGATTGTTATTTGGATAATGTTTTATGAAACTAGTAACTGTACACAAGGTATTACGCATTTTGTTGAAAATTTCCTTTTTGAGAAATAGTTTTAATTGTATCTGCTAGAATATCAGGATATTACAGAGCAAGTGTAAGGGACTAAATGTGGAAGAGACCATATAAGCTGTATTTGAAGACAGCTTAGTTGATTGTTGTATAATTCTGTTGTCATTTTTTAGCTTCTTCTCTCTTTGCAAATATTCTTCAGTCATATAGTTTTCTACTACTGCCCAGGACATCAAGTTTCAATAAATTTTCCCTAGATTTCAAAAAATTTTTTAAAGATTGGGATAAATATGTATTTATTTACTAATACTTTTTTCAAACTAGATTTATGTACAAAGTTAAACATGTAACTGTTAATATACTTTTATCACTCTATGCATTTGTGTCATTTACAATTATTGATCCAGTTTGAAATGCAGAAAACATTCAAATAAACGTATACAACAACCATTAGTATTATAAAGTGACATTTCCACATACCAAAGCCTTGTACAAAATTAGAAGCGTTTAAAACAAGTCTTAGCAAAGCTATCATTTTTAAGAAAATAGGACTTTTAAGGAGAGGTGGATCACATGGTTCATTTCCATTCATCAGCTGGTTCATTTTCACAAGACTCACACAAAGCAGCATAGCATTGTGTTGGGAAGCATGAATTCTGGAGCCAGTTCAAGCCTTGGCTGCAGCTCTTATTGCTGTGTGATCATAGGTTCCTTAACCTCTGTCTTCCTCCATAAATGTGCCAATTCATCAGCTGATACATTTCAACTGATACAGTTCAACAACTTGTATGTGCCTGGCACATAGAAAACACTTAGTCCATGCTCAGTGATATCATCATCTTCATACAGTCAAGGACCCCTTCCAAAGACTGTAGTGGCATCTACATTAGATCAGTTTGAGAATTGTCAGCCTTACAAGATACTACCATAGTGTGTGAGTGAGTGGGAAGATTACCAGAGAATTTAATGTTTATTTAGCAAAAAAATGCATCAGGAAGAAACTGCCTTTGGTCTTCAGTAGAAAACTGGACTTCCAGCAATAGGAAAAATAGCCCCTTCAAGCGATGGTATTTCAAACCTTAATGTAAGTCTTCCTTCTTCGTAAGCATGGTTTCTTTTTTTCACTGAGCCAAACTAGTCAGCTGGTTTTCACCATGGATTTTGGATTCTGGCCACTACTGGAAATGTGTACTGCTGCTAATACAGCTCAAAATACTTTACATTTCTGTCTAGGGTGCTTCATGTAGCAGTTTGAGTAATGGGATGATGGATCAAAAGTAAGATTTACCGTTAATTTTAAAAATTTTTAATTGCGTATAATTGCTTTACAACGTTGTGTTAGTTAGTTTCTGCTGTACAAGAATGTGAATCGGCTCTCTATATCTATCTTCTCCCTCCTGAACCTCCGTTCCACCCCCCCTGTGCCCCTCCTCTGGGTCATCACAGAGCACCGAGCTGAGCACCTGGTACTTAGACAGGAGCTTCCCACTAGCTGTCTAGTGGTCGTATATATATGTCAGATTTACCATATACGAAAATTTACCATTTAATTTTTAAAGTAACCAAAAAACATGTAATCATTTTGTTTGTTTTTCTTTCTTACAAGTGTAAAACAAGTATTTTTTGCTATTTAAAAAAGTATTTCTCAAAAATGATTTCTCATTAAAAGTCTTGTTTGATTTTCAGGGGATTTTCAGCCTATGTCTCTTTTGATATTCTCCTCCTGGTTAGCCTCCCCAGGCTGGAACATCCTAATTTGTATACCTGAACATTTTCTGAGATGTGAGAGTCTGAATATTAGCTCGTTGGTTAGGATTTCAGCCATTAAACTGCTATAGAAAATAAGTACTTCATAGCTCTTTATAGTGATAAATACAGCATTCTCTCCTGCTGTGGCAGATGGACACTTAGGGATAGCAGTTTGCTCTGTCCCAAGAATCTTATTTCCATTAAGAAAATACATTTTCCTCCTATTTTCCTTTGTGAAAACTAATGTTATCAAGTGTGAGGTTTGTCCAAGGTTAATAGTCATCTCTTGTTTGGTAGAGCAGTATTTTCTAAACAGCGCTTTGGAAGACGTGTTCCAAGAAAACAGCTGCAAGTGTACGGCATTGCATAGACAAGGTGGTCCAGTGAGTAGCCTTAAATGCTGGGAACACACTTCAGCGTGAATCAGGGAGCTGTCAGATAACTTGGCAATAATTCCTCTTTGTGGAGGTGGATAAGTAATACTGGCTCTCTCAAGTTTTTTTCTTTCTTATCACTTAATCTAGATTATAGTCTGGTTCACCTGTGTCTTTCAGCTTTCTGCCCCATCACTTCTTAGAATGGAATATTTAGAATGTATTGTGTGACCTTATGGATTTGAGATCACGCGTACTAGTCTCACTGATCATGCTATCAAGCAGAGGAAGTAGGGTGACAGTGCTGCCAAGAGCATTCCGCAGGAAAAACTAAAGCAGGATTGGGGCACTGCTTAGCTTCTGCTGGCCATATATTAAGCTGCTGAACCCTAGCAAATCTAAACATCCAGGTATTCAGACTTTTTCTGTGTAGTGAAATATCTCAAAATGCATGTCTCTTAGGCAGTTACTATCATGGAGTTTCAGCCTGTTACGAAAGGCTAGGTAAGTAAGATAGAACTGAAGTCAAGTGTTGTCTACTATTAGATTGGGGAACTACAGGCCAGAGCCAACTCCACCACGGTGCTCATTTCGGTAAATAAAATTTTACTGAACCTTAGATAGGCAATATTTTAGAAATCATATTTCTTCACATGACTCACTAACAGCTATGGCAGAGAAGATACAATAAGTTATAGCTTATAAGGACTATTTCTTAAAATACGGAGACCTTCCATTTATGAAGACATCGAGGATTGACCAGGACGTACGTACCTAAAATTACAGTATTAATATTTATGAGACTGATGTCTTAAAAGACTAGAGAAATGGGCAAATTTTCACAGAGATGGTTGAATCTTACCCACAAGCTGCAAGCAGAGGCCCCTAATGAATGACTTCTGAGCCTAAAAGAATTTGCATGCAGCTCATTAACCTCTGGGTTTTTAAGAGACTTAGGGCCCAAAACTATCAACCTTAGGAAAGACAGTTGGGGAATAGCCTTATATCAGTGCTTTTTAGCATGCCCTCAGGGCTCCTCCATGCCTTGCTTGCTTGCTTTTAGCCTAAGATGTGGCGTTGCTTTTGTACTAAGGTACTGGGCATCCTGGGAAGGTATGTGAAGTCCCTTCCCAGCCATCAGATAAGGCCAGGTTGCATTTTTTTTTATTAAGATGTGTTCATTTATATTTATTTTTGGTTGCACTGGGTCTTCGTTGCTGTTCGTGGGCCTTCTCTAGTTTAAGCGCACGGGGGCTGCTCTTTGTTGTGGAGTGCAGGCTTCTCTTGTGGACTGCAGGCTGTAGGTGCGCCGGCTTCAGTACTTGCAGTGTGCGTGCTCAGTAGTTGGGGCACACGGACTTAGTTGCTCCTCAGCATGTGAAATCTTCTCGGACCAGGGACTGAGCCCATGTCCCTGTGTTGGAAGGTGGATAATCACTGGGCCACCAGGGAAACCCAAAGCCGTGTTGCTTTTTGAGTATATGTGTTTTTAATGATCTTGTGTCTGTTTCCTTGCTGAAAGGGTAAACTTTTCCATGCAGAGTGATGAAATATGTTTAAGATTCATTTACATCTAGAGTATGGTTAAATACATACATAAAGCTTGTCTATAACTGAGTTATTTAAAATTAAGGTAATCAACAGTAGTCTAAACCTCATTCTTCCAGCTCAAGTCCTTGTTTCTTATTTTACCAAGAAAATAAAGCCAGTCTGAGGAGAACTCAACAGGTTTCAGTACTATACTCCCCAACCAACCTTGATGTGCATGGACGGGTTTCGCACTGAGTGAACTTTGACCACTTCTGGCCAAGCCAGCTGCTCGCCCTGTGCCTCACAGCCCGCTCCGTCAGTCACTCAGATCCTCCTTCAACATGTCTCCTGTGTCACCAGCTTTTCCCTCTGCTGCTCCATGATCAGCATGAAAGTGAAAAGTGTTACTCAGTCTTGTCCAGCCCTTTGCAACCCCATGGATTGCAGCCCACCAGTATCCTCTGTCCATGGGACTTCCCAAGCAAGGATACTGGAGTGGATTGCCATTCTTTTCTCCAAGGGGATCTTCCTGACCCAGAGATCGAACCCAGGTCTCCTGCCTTGCAGGCAGATTCTTTACTGTCTGAGCCTTTGTCCAGATATGACCAGCATTTAGAAAGAATATTGTTTCTCCTACAGTAAAAAAAAATTCAACTCCCACTCTACCTCCCGTTGTTGTCACAGTTCTACCTTCCCTTTACATTGAGACTACACAGAAAGGATCGTCAGTGTTCACTGTTTTCCGTCTTCCCGTTATTTTAAACAACTCTAAAGAGTTGGACCATATAGAAGTCTGAGCACTGAGGAATGGATGCTTTGGACTGTTGTGCTGGAGAAGACTCTTGAGAGTCTCTTGGACAGCAAGGAGATCAAACCAGCCAATCCTAAAGGAAATCAACCCTGAATATTCGTTGGAAGGTTTGATGTGGAAGCTTCAACACTTTGGCCACCTGATGTAAAGAACCAACTCATTGGAAAAGACCCTGCTGCTGGGAACGATTGAGGGCAGGAAGAGAAGGGGGCAACAGAGGATGAGATGGTGGAATGGCATCACCGACTCAATAGACTTTAGTCTGAGCAAGCTCCAGTAGATAGTGAAGGACAGGGAAGCCTGGTTGCTGGGAACAATTGAGGGCAGGAAGAGAAGGGGGCAACAGAGGGTGAGATGGTGGAATGGCATCACCGACTCAATAGACTTTAGTCTGAGCAAGCTCCAGTAGATAGTGAAGGACAGGGAAGCCTGGCATGCTGCAGTTCATGGAGCTGCAGAGTCGAACATGACCTAGCAACTGAACAACAAATTGAGGTATATGTATGATAAAATGTACAAATTCCAAGTGTATGGAAAATGAGTTTTAATCAATGTATGCCTATAATCAGCACCCCTATTAATAGGTTAAAAATTTCCTAAGTACCAAAAAGTTGTTCCACTTTGCAGTCAACACTTGTCACTCCCCTCCCTAGGCAAATACTAATCTGATTTCTATCAATATAAATTTGTTTTGCCTGGTTTAGTACTTCCTATAGATGGAATCATGTAGTATGTACTTTCATTTCCAGCATAGTTTTTTTTGAGTTTCATCTACGTTGATGTGTGTCCATAGTATGTTTTTTTTATTACTGGATATTCTACTTTATAAATGGAATTCTGCTCTTTTGCTTATCCATTCATCTGTTGGCGAACATTTGGACTGTTTCCAGGTTGTAGGTGTTGTGAATAAAGCTGCTATGAACATTTGTGTGCAACTCTTTACTTGAGCCCACCTTCACCAGGACTTTTGCCTCCACATCTCCCTTGAAACTACTCTTATCAAAAGCCACCAGTGAACTGCATGTTGCCAGTTCGATCCTGGTCACAGCTTGTGACCAGTTTTCAGCCCTGGTTTTACTTGCCCCAGCAGTAGTACTCAGTGTTGATGGTCACCCTTCTGGAAACATTGGGCTTGGCTTCCCCCCTCTCCTTCCTTCCTTCTTGGCCACTCTTCAGTTTCCTTTGTTGGCTTTTTCTCTCCTTTTCACCTTTTACGTTGGCACCTTAGTCTTGGAATTGTTTTTCCATCCATCTTCCCTCCCTCGGTGATTTCATCCAGACTTATGGTTATAAATACCAAGACACTGATGATTCCTAAAACTATCACCATGGCAGTCTGTATCCAACTTCTCACATAACATGTCTATATAGATGCCTCCTGGGCATCTCCAAATTAACATTCAAAACTGAATTTCTGATCTTCTCTGAACCCTGGTATTTTCCTCCATCTCACTAGTACAAAAAACTTGGACAGACACATCCTTGACCCTTTTCTTTCACTCCGCATCCAAGTTAGGCAGCAAGTCTTACGGAATCTGCCTTCAAAATATGCCCAGAACCAAAACAGGCCTCAACTCACTACACCACGCTGGTCCAAGCTGCCATCATGTTTCACCTCGATCACTGGTTCTCAAACTGTGGTCAGTGGACCCCTCATGACTCCCGAAAACCTCTTAGAAGAAGTCCAGGAAATCAAAACTACTTTTGCAGTAGTACTAAGGTATTGTTTGCCTTTTTCACTGTATTCATATTTACACCAATGGTACAAAAGCAACCAGGGATGAAATTGCTGGCTGTCTAGCACAGATCAAGGCACCAACTATATGAATAATCATTGTATTCTTCACTGCCAGATACTCTAAAATGTCCTTGATGAAAAAAAACAAATTTCATTAAATCTTGCCCCTTGAGTACTCATCTTGTTAATATTCTGTATGATATGCTAATAAAGCACTTTTATTGCATATGACAATAACAATATCTGTCTCCGGGAAAGCATTTGTGTGACTGAGTTGGGAGCTGATCTGGCCACTTTTTTAATGAAACATTTTTACTTGGAAAGAAAACTATGACAGACATTGTCCTGGAAAGGAAAAAAAATGACATCACTTCAAGTGAAGACAACTGATAGAATTTGTTTCTAGTTTCCACTTTTTAAGCTAGAGTTTTAGAAAGTATACCCATCACCAAGGGCTTGACAGCTTTCCAGTTCTTTCAGACTGAGAT